TAGGTCTGTAACAGCTGCATATTCTTCAGATGACTTGCATATATCATCCTGCTCATCAGCGACCTTTGCTAACTGGGGAAATGTTCATTCAAAATTCCTTTTGAAGAAGTGTTTTGAAAAAAGATAGCATTTTTCAAAATGCTTGGATTTTTTGCCACATATCATTATATAGACTTGGTTTTACATTGCAAAGAAATATTCAAGTCATGTTGATTTGACATGATATCACACAAAAATGCTACATTCCTATAGAAATCTTCTTTCAATAATTCACATTGCTGATTATGTTCTTCATAAAAGTTAACTGTTTTTTCAGAGTTAAAATTTTGGCTAACACCTGTTCCTGTGATGGCCAATAGTTCACTCTTATTTTTCTCAGTATACTAAATACTCTCTGATAGTATCTTGATTATTTAGTTATTTAATGATTCACTGTCACTCTCCCTCTTCTACCATGTAAGCTTCCTGAGAGCAGGGACCCCATCTGTCTTGTTCACCACTGTGTCCCTAGACTCTAGTACAGTGCCTGGCACACAGAGATTATTATGTGAATAGACACACACATGGGTCAGGTATAGTGGTTCATACCTATAATCCCAGCACTTTGGGAGGCTGAGGTGGGAGGATCTTTTGAGGCCAGGAGTTTGGGACCAGCCTGGGCAGCATAGTGAGACCTTGTCTCTAAAAAAAAAAAGAAAAAAAAACAAACAAAAATTAGCCAGGCATGTTGGCATGTGCCTGTAGTCCCAGTTACTCAGGAGGCTGAGGTAGGAGGATCTTTGGTCTATTCTGGATGGATGTGTGTGTGTGCGCGTGTGTACACCCATGAGAGAGAGGGAGAGAATGTGTTTTTGTTGTGTACATGAACTTAAGCACATAGATAACAAAAGGCTGGAATGTTATACATCAAAACACCAATAGTTGTCTTTGGAAGGTGTGATTTTTGGTTATATTTCACCCCCTTATCTAATTTTTTTTTTTTTTTTTAAAAACAATGAACCTGTATTTTCATAATGGGGAAAAACAATAAAACCACTCTAAGTGTGAAAAGTCATATCCAGGGCTAGGGCTCAGTGGCTCATGCCTGTAATCCTACCACATTGGGAAGCTGAGGTGGAAGGATTGCTTGAGTCCAGGAGTTTGAGACCAGCCTGAGCAACGTAGTGAGACCTCGTCTCTGCAAAAACAAAGCCATATCCATTGAATTAACTTTTTGATTAATTTCTGTTGAAGTTGTAATCTTTTCTTGCATTTGCAGATGGGCACATACTGGATTCAAAAAGATACGTCATTATTGGAGCAGATCTCCGAGAGATACATGAATTGGAAGAGAAACTAAAGAAATCTAACATGAATACACAGTGAGATTTTTTTTTTAATCTGTTACTCATTTGTAATTTCATGCTAATTATGAGATAAGGCCAGTTGGAAGTGCAGCATAATACACACGTCCATTTTTTATTCTGTAAGTTTTATCATTTCATTGCTACTGAGAGAATATTTCTGAGATTTTTAAGCAGCAATGTCTAAGTCTGTTTCCACATCAGAACCACCTGTGTTACTTATTAAAGCACTGGTCCCTAGTTTCATGAACAAGGTTTGAGAGAAGATAATATATGAATAGGAACATACAATTGCACGTATAAACAAAGGATTAGCATCCAGAATACATAAACATAAAAAACCAAAATTCCCATAGAAAAATGGGCAAAGGATAGATAACCAGGCAGCTCAAAGAAGAAATGGAATATTACATGAAAAGGGTATCGATCCTTAGTAATTCTGGACCATGACGTCGGACACCTTAACTTCACCTCTGTCTCAGTTTCCTCCTTTGACAAATGAGCATAATAATAGAACCCAACAATAAATGTTAGCAGTTGATGCTGTTGGTAACTATTAAAAACAATGTCAAAAATGCTGTTTCTTTCTATAGTTGTAGCTGTCACTGATGATTCTGATGGTTCCTAGAACATAAAAATAATTCCTAATGCCAGTACTCAGACATAACCACCTTAAATATTATGCCTAAACTTGTGAATATATATTTTTCTTAAAGATGCGGTCATGCTATGCATACACTTTTGGAACTTTTAAAATAATTATGTGTGTGTGTGTGTGTGTGTGTGTGTTTGTTTGTGTATGTTTACTCATTTGTTTGTTTATTTATTCATTCATTCAGTAATTGAGAATCTGTAAGTTATAGGTACTCACTACAGAGACATGAACAAAACAGCTTTACACATTGTATGGGGGAAAAAAGACATTAAACAGCTAATTTCATTGGACTGTTTAATTATTCTCGTGATGCCTGCTCTGAAGAAGTGTAGGGAACCATATCGTAGGAGACTTGACTCTGGCGACCGCACATGGCTTTCATGTCAATAAATACAATTCTGAAGCACTATTTACGAGCCACGTAGCAGTCCATTGGGTGGATGCGCCATGCTCTTTCCAACCAGTTTCTTGCTGGACATTTGATTTTTTACAACTTATTTTTTCTAAGATCCCCCACCAATACAAACAAACAGATGAAAATAACCCACTCTCTTCGTGTGAGAAACAGCAATGAGGAACATCAGTATTTAGGGAGGGGAAGAGGCCCCAATGAAGGAGTCTGAGAAGGAGCAGTAAGAACCAGGAAAAGCCTGTGGAAGAGCATTCTAGAGACAAGGGCAAAGAGTTTCTCCAGGTTTCTCCAGTCCTTTCAGCACTGACATTGTCCCAGACTAGTCAAGAAAGCTGTCCCTCATCTTGCATTTGGGGCCTAAGGAAGTAAAAAAGAGAGTGCATGAATTGTGTCCAGTTGACTTGCATAATTTGTGGGCCACCAGTGTTCTCATTTAAAAGTTAAGACTTTTAGATACCTTGTAAGGAGTTTGTTGCTTTTCCTATGTCCTGATTTGTTGATTACTTTGGGTGTCCTAATTCAGAATGCATACTAATATTATAATTTAACTATTCACCTTTTCAATTCTTGATAGTGAAAGCTTATATAAAAATTAGAATCTATTGAATTAATACCAGTATTTCTAGGTTGTATCATTCAGATTTTGATGTGTAACAAATCACTCCAAACTCAGTGATTTAAACCAGGTCACAATTTAGTTGCTCAGGATTCTGTGAATTGACAGTTTGGGCTGGGCTTGGCTGGATGGTGGTTCTGCTGGGGGCCAGGTGTAGCAGACATCCCTGGGGGTTCACTCATGTGTGGACAGTGGGCAGACCGGCTAGGGACTGACTGTCAGCTAGCGTGTCTCATTCTCTTCCACAAGGCCTCTCCTCCTATAGCAGGCTAGCTTGGGTTCTTTCACACAGTGGCTTCAGGGTTCCAAGTGCAGCAAGAGAGCAAGTGCCAGTCTGCAAGTGATTTTCAGGCTTCCGCTTGCATCATGTTTGCTACTGTCCTGTTGGCCAAATCAAGTTACATGACTAGCTCAGATTCCAGGGGTAGGAAAATAAACTCCACCTCTTGTATGAGAGACTCTAATGTTGCACTGGCATGGTGTGAGTACACAGCAGGGGAGAATTTGTAGCCACATCTACTATCAACCACACACTTAACACATTTTCATAAGCCAGACAAATCACGGCTCACCTTTTCACAGTATACACCTTTGGGCTGTGATGGCATCATACATGTACCACTGCATTGATCCGTGCTGGGCTTGCTCAGTCCTTCTGAGCTTCCTGGGGGGTGGGGGGTGAGCTGCCCTGCCAGTACTGCAGTGTAGGTACAATTAGAGTGTTGTGAACTGATGAACATATACTTCTGTGCTTTTGTTTTCTTCTCTTAAGATTGCCAACGCTCCTGATAACTGAATGTGTGCTAGTCTATATGACTCCAGAGCAGTCTGCAAACCTCCTCAAGTGGGCAGCCAACAGTTTTGAGACAGCCATGTTGATAAACTACGAACAGGTAAAAGGAAGCCCAAGAGATCGGGATTCTGCACAGGACTCCAGCGGTGTCTTCCCCTCTCTCAGCCCCTCAGTATATACTTCCCTTATCCTGTTCCTTTTCTTTCTGTCTCTGGCCACTCACATATCTCCTGTATTAATTGATTCCAGCAATCCTAGTGCTCCTGATTTCTTGACTTCCTGCAAACTTTTAGGCAGATTTTTTGGAACTTCTGTTTTAGCCTTTACAAAAGATTTTTGAGTTCTTATTTTATCATCGCATGTACCATAGGGTAATAGAATGTGCTGAAGGGGATGTTGGCTGCCATCAGTGTTGGGGTAGAAAACTCCAGTGCCCTCAGGGAAGTCAGGGGATGCAGATAGAGGAAGCTGGCCAGGTGCAAATAGTGTGGAATTGGGGGACTCTGGTGAACTGGAGCTCCCATGTCCTGGGTGTGGCCACTACACAGTTCCAGCCAGTTGTTACCAGGTGAACGTGTGAGCCTACAGTTGCCAGAACTCCCAGTTTTTCAAGAGAAGTTAGAAATGTAGGATTTCAGTTTCAAATGTCCTAATTTCTAATATCACTGACTTTGACCCACTGGCTGCTTGTTGGCCTGTTCTGATTTAGCGTCAAAGAGTTATGTTTTAGAGCTTTGGGATGATCCAGCTTGGACCTAAACCTTGGCCCTAGCTCTTCTTCTTGGCTGTGACCATAGGCAGCATTGCTTAGTGATTGGGAGTCCATGCTCTGGAGGTAGACTTTCTAGCTGTGTGACCTAGACAGGTTATATCACCTCTCTGTGTCTGTTTCCTCATCTGAAAATAATAATAGTCCCCACTCCATAGGGTTGATGTGAGGTGTAAGTCAGATGATAGATGCAATGCTGAGTTACTACATTGCCCGCCTATTAATTAAGCTTTAGCTGTTTTTGGATCTGAGCCCCAGTTCTTTTTTCTGAAAGGTATAATAACTAGCTTTTTGCATTATTATGTTCATGTTTAGCAGTAAACACATAACCACTGAATACTTTTATTGTTTTAGTTTTATTTTTTAATCTCATTTTCTTTATTTCATTACAGATAGGAGCAGTAAGGAACTTGCCCAATGTCACATAATTATGGATAGATCTAGGGTTAGACTTTGGTCTCTCGACCTCCTTCCCAGCTCCCTTCTGGTCCAGGTTCCTGTGTAGATGGTTGTTGATTGGTTGGTGTTGCTTCCTTCCCTCTCTTTAATTGGGAACCTTCCTCAGACTCTGTCTTTCATCCTGAGGAATGGACGTGATGGCAGCTATCCTCATGGGTCTTTTATTTTGATGTGAATGAATCCTGGGAACATATCTTTGCTTTCAGATACCACATCTGGGGAAAACGAATTCACCTTTCCATAGTTCCACACGTCTCAGGCGCATGCAGCTTCGCTCACTTGGCTGGACCTGTGTATTCTTTTGTTCAACAAGCATTTATTCAGCATCATATGAGAGATACGGATCATGTGAATTTTGACAGTAGACCCTGTCGCTTTGGAGCAAGCCTAGGAATGTTCCAGTGTGTAATATGTTGTCCACAGTAAAGTAGCTTAGCTCCCCCCTACTACTCTCACCTTGCAAATAATAAACATTTAACTTGATTCAGTCATTTCCTAAGAAACACAAAATCAGCAACCTCACAATGTGTATTAATTGGAGACGTGCCTTACGTTATCTCCTAATCAATAGTTTAAAATGACAAGACCATATGGATAATTTTAGTAATGATCCTAAAGTAATGATAGCAAATTCTTAGATTTTGTTTACTATAATTATCACAATCCACAAGGTAGATACTAGTACTATCCTGATTCTATAGGCAAGGGGACTGAGGCACATAGTTAGGCAGCTGTCCTTGGCCTCTCAGTTGTTAAGTGTCAACTCAGTGTCAAACCCAGGCAATAAAATGACAGAGTATGAGCTCACAATCGCCTATCCTGAATGACTAGTGTGCAGTCTGATCTTTAGTGCCATAAGCCTTACTCGCCATCAAAAGAGAACAATACTCGGTTTTGACTGGCAGTGTTCTCATATGAACTCTGGGCATCGTGTTACATATTGTTAAAGCAATGAATTTTTGACACCTTGTTATATGACAGCGTAATAGTGTGTATGCTAAAATAGCATACACTAATATGTTTTCTGGCATTTTTGTATATATGGATTATGGTTTTTAAAGACTAGTTTAATTGAAAAAGCAATACCACATGCAGAGTACAAAAATAAAAAATATAACAGGTTAGATAAGGAAAAGTCAGTCTCTCTCCTATCCCAGACCTCAGCCCTCTATCTTGGGAAAAATGCTACCACATTCTAGTACATATAAAGATTGTTTTTTCTTAAAGACAGATGGGAGCATACTATCCATATTGATTTATACTTTGCTTTTCAAGAGATTACATTAGAGGTCAGTTTATGTCTACATGTGATTTATCTTCCTTTTCTGATTTCATGGCTATATAGCATTTCCTTATGAATATGCCAGAATATATTTAACCCCAAGTGAAGAATATTTCCAGATTCTTCCTAATGCTGTAGGAAACATTCTCACATCTTAGCATACACGTGTGCATACACCTGTGGGATAAATTGCTGTCAGAGGAATTGCTAGGTGACACGGTGAGCATCTAAAATGGATGTACACCGCACAGTTGCCCTTCCAGGGCCGCACCGGGTCTGCTCCCAGCAGCACTAACACACAGTGTTTCTTTCAGCTGCACTGGGTGTGTGTTATCACACACAGGCCTTGCCTGGTGAGAACTGGGATGTTGTTACTTTATTTTGCATATTTGAGAAACAAAGACCCCCTTATGGTGATACCCAGCTTCCTCCTCTTTCCCTTCCCAGGTGAACATGGGTGATCGGTTTGGGCAGATCATGATTGAAAACCTGCGGAGACGACAGTGTGATCTGGCAGGAGTGGAAACTTGCAAGTCATTAGAGTCACAGGTCAGTGAGCAGAGACTGGGACATCTGCTTTTACCCTTAGCCCAGTAAGAAAGGGTGTTCTCCCTTCACACATGAGAGAATGTGAGCAGCTCTGTTAAGTCCCTTCTGACACAGGCAGCTAGGGCTCCATGTGGGCCCCAAGTTCATGATGCTAGGACAATCCAAGTCCTGCTTAGGCATCTTGGTGTAGAAAATACACAGAGCCCAGGAGTTCAGGCTTCAGTGAGCTATGATTGCACTACTGCACTCTAGCCTAGGTGACAGAGCGAGTTGCCATCCTATATACTGTTTTAACTCTTTATTATGCAAATTTCCAAACATACATAAAAGTAGAGGGAATGGCAACATGAACCCCCACGTGCCCTCAGCCAGCTTCAGTACTTCTTATTTTGTCAATATTGTTTCATGTATTCCCCCACACAATTTTTTGTTGGTGGCGTTGGAATATTTTCCAACCAATCCTGGACAGTACGTGATTTCACCTGTAAATACTTCAGTGTGAATCTCCTGCCAATAAGGACTTTCTTCGCCTGGATAGTGCTAATACCGTTATCACACCTAACAAATGGCCAGTAACTCCTTCATCACATCTCATATCCAACCCAGGCCATGTTCAGTTTTCCCGAATTGTTTAAAAAATATGCTAGTGTTTGAATCGGGATCCAAACATGATCCACACTTTGTATATGATTAATATCTCCCTGAAATCTCCTCGAATCTATAATAGTCTCCCTCTCTTTCTCAGAAATGTCATTCATTTGCTAGAGACACCTCCCATGCCTGCCCCCGTTTAAATAGGTTCTTAAGTGTCTTATGTGACATTACCCTAGAACACTTTACCAAACCACTGCTGATATAAAAGTTCTTCATTTCTCTGTGAATATACTTGAGTGGGCTTCCCCCTATTGTAACAATGTATGTTCAATAAAGGACGTGAAATATAAAAAGAAGAAAGATGCCAGGGGCCAGAATGGCCTTTTGCAAGAGGAGTTTTCTTAGAGAAAGTCTGTTGTGCTTAAGAGTGTCTCAGATTTGCACAGCAGTGCCTGGTTGTTCTCCATTTCTCTTTACCGCATGTTTTAGAAAGAACGGCTGCTGTCAACAGGGTGGGAAACGGCATCCGCAGTGGACATGATGGAGTTGTACAGCAGGTTACCGCGTGCTGAAGTGAGCAGGTATGGGCTTGGCTGTGGACCTCTGTCCTCATTCATTGTGAGCTCAAGGCATGATTGTTTAATTTCAAAAAACGAAACTGTAACTAGACCTATTTCGAAACAAGTTAAACATTGACAGGAGCTTGAGAGTAATTTATTAGAAGTAGCTGAGATAGGGTTTATACGGAAAACAGATTGCTTCAGTCAACATAAGTAATTACACACGAAAAATTCACAGAGCAACCTCAACATTGGCAATTTACTGTAATCTCTGTTTTGGAGAGGGAGGAAAATGATGTTCAAGGCCATGTAAGGAGAAAAAAATCTGCTGGCAGATTTATAAATGGACTTTTCCCCCCATTATAAAAGAAACATAGTTGTTCTAAAAAAAATTTCAAGAAATATAAAAGTGCATGACATATAAAGTAGTCCGTTTTGGAGTTACACTCTGGAGGTAGCAGTTAACATCATGGGGCATATTCTTTTCCTATACATGTATAAATATTTATAGATACATAGATTTGTGTTTCTTAAATGGATTCATACTACATATATTGCTCTATAAACCATGTTCCTTTTTTAAACTTAACAATAGATTGTATTTATCTTTACATATCAAAATATTGAAGGTTATATCCTGTTTATGCATACATAATATTTATATTGATATGTGGACAATAATGTATTGACAATTTGTGTGTAGCTGGACATTTAGTTGTAGAGTCTGGTTTTCTATTTTGTCTTAATTTCCTTGTTACAAACAACACTGGAGAACACGTTACCACATATGCATCTGTGTATAGTGTTAGTGCCCACTTTTTTTCGTTGTATTATAATTATTTTGTGCTTCTAGGTTTATGCTTACCTCTTGCCTTTGGAGACTTAAGATAATAGTGCTTGATCTCTTACAAGATCACGAGATGAATTTTTGGCTTTGCTGCTGCATATAACTTAACATTTAACAGTATTGTGGCTTTTTCCAAGTACGTATGTGAATAATTGGCAATGGAGCCTTGAAGATTTAAGAAATTGTTGTCTCCATGTGATCAGGTTGATGCTTCCTGGGTTCTCCTAGAAGTATCCTTTCCTGCAGGTTGGTTTTCATTTGCTACGTGTCAACACAACTATTTTGAGTATCCCTGGTCTGGCATCTGTAATGGGGATGCTCTAGCACCTCTTCTAGATACCCAGGGAGGAGTCTGTCACTAGCACCAACCACAAGGAAAGTAACTTGCTTCTAGGCAATCATTTGTCTGATGTTGCCATGGCCTTTTGTACACAGCAACATGTAACCCCAACAGGGGTGGCAGGTAAGGATATTGGATGGGCTTTTGTCTGTCCATCCCAGGCTGAATAGCCGCCTTAGCTTTGTGTCTGTTTTTGCTGGAAACTGGAGTATAAGAAGTCTAAGGTGAGCCTGTTCATGTAACAAATGCTGAGTGTCTGCTGTCTGCCAGGCACTCTTCCAAGCACAAGGGATACAACAAAGATCAAAATAGCACAAAAGATATGCCTGTCGTTGGTAGCTTACATTCTCATGAACAGCTTCCTAATCAGTGGTGTCTCCTGATAATTGTACTTGGTAATAACCATCCCAGCGGCTTCAGTATGGTGCTTTTTCCTAGAACTTGATATTAGAAAATCTGCCTTGGATGTCTTCTGGTAAGATTAGTTGGGAAGCAACCAAAGCACTTTATGTATAGTCATTCTCACTTCAGATGTGGTCCTTGAGCCTGCATACCAGGATGGGAGTGAATGCACAAATACAGAAACGTGCACAGACATGCACATGTGTACACTCCCGTGGGCACCTACACACACATACACACAAAGCCTGGACAAATGGCAGTACGAGATTGTTAGCAGGGCCTACTGTAAATAGTTGGAGTATGGATCATTTTCTATTTTATTCTGTATACTTTTTGGAAATACCTTAATTTTCCTCCAAAGTGTGTATACTATTTCAACATTCTTTTTTAAAAGCTATTTCCATATGTTTGTGCATGTTTCTCTGTGTATATTTTTAAAAGCTTACATTTAAAATGCTTTTTTGAAGTCATTCATGCATAATTTCTTTTAAAAAAAGCCAGAACAAAATAGTATATAGAGTAAAAGCAAACACAGCCCACCTACCACCACCTCTCATAAGAAAAAGCCACTGTTTCTAGTTTCTTGTTTTCCAAAGTAGTCTGTGTATACGTAGACATACGTGTCCCTCCCTTTTCCTTTACATAGGTAGTGATACGCTATGCATGTTCCTTACTAAGCAACTTTCTTTTTAAATCCCATGATATGTCTTGGAGGTTGTTCCATGTTAATACATTGTTAAAATGGCTGCATAGTGTCCTGTTATATCCATGTGCTTGTGTGTATTCAACTGTCTCTTCTAGTTTACAGTTCTTTGCTTCTTACCACATTGGAGCTATGATGCTACAGTGAATGCTCTTGGACATAGATCTTTGTACACATATAGGATAAATTTTTTTTTATTAATGTAAATTTATTGAAATGCATTAATTCACATACCACAGAATTCATCAATTTAAAGTGTACAATTCAATGGTTTTTAGTATAATTCACAGAGTTGCTCAGTATCATCATTATAGTCTATTTTAGAACATTGTCACCACCCCAATGAGAAACCCCACACCCACTAGCAGTCACTCCCCGGTCCCCAACAGCACTCCCCAGCCCTAGGCAACCACTAATCCACTTTCTGTCTCTATAGGCTTGCCTGTTCTAGACATTTCATATGAATAGAATCAAATATGTGGTCTTCTATGACTGGCTTCTTTCACTTAGCAAAATGTTTTCAAGGTTCATAGCATGGAATGGACGTACCACATGTTATTTATCCCTTCATCAGTTGATGGGCATTTGGGTTGTTTCCACTTTTTGGCGCTTATGAATAACGCTGCTGTGAACACTCATGTACAGCTCTTTGTATGGACATAGGTTTCCACTTTTTATGTATATGCCTAGCAGTGGAATTGGCAGGTGATATGGTAATTCCTCTGTTTAGCCTTTTGAGAAACTGCCAGATTTTTATTCCAAAATGGCTATACCATTTTACATTATAGGATAAATTCTTAAAGGCACAATTGTTGAGTCCAAGGATAGACATTTTAAACATTGATAGAGATTATCAAGATGCCGTCCAGAGATACTATTTTGTAATCCTACCAGTAACTCAGGAAGCACTTTTTTTTTTCATGGTGTTGCTAAAATGTATATCAGCTTTTTTGACCTTTGTCAATCTGATAGCTGAAATGTTATATTTTAATTTGCATTTTTTTCTTACACATGAATTCAACAACTTCTTTCTTTTTTGGTAAACTGATCTTTTCCCCCCATTTTAAACGAATTTAAAAATTTTTTCTTATTGAAGTTCATTTCTTTCCTCATATGTGAGCTTGAACATGTCTTCCTTTTTGGTGAACTGGTCTTTTCTCCATCTTTAAATGAATTGTAGAAGTTTTTCTCATTGAAGTTTAACAGCTCTATATGGCAAAGAAATCAACTCTTTGTCATTTGTATTGCAAATTTATGTTTCTAGTTTGTCATTTGTCTTTTGACTTTGCTTATACTATTTTTTCTTTCCGATAAAAGTAAATTAAAATGGAACCTCACCATCCATACTGTGTGTAGCCTGCTTTCCCCTTATTATGACATTTTTCCATATCCATAACTGAGTCATTTTTTTTTTTTTTGTGACAGAGTCTCACTGTGTTGCCCGGGCTAGAGTGCCGTGGCGTCATCCTAGCTCACAGCAAACTCCTGGGCTCAAGCAATCCTTCTGCCTCAGCCTCCCGAGTCGCTGGGACTACAGGCATGTGCCACCATGCCCGGCTAATTTTTTCTATGTATTTTTAGTTGTCCAATTAATTTCTTCCTAATTTTTAGTAGAGACGGGGTCTCGCTCTTGCTCAGGCTGGTTTCGAACTCCTGAGCTCAAACAATCCGCCTGCCTCGGCCTCCCAGAGAGCTAGGATTACAGGCATGAGCCACCACGCCCGGCCATCATCTTCATTTTAAATGTAGAAATCTATATTGTTCTGTTGTCATTCTCTCCACAGAATAGAAGCGCTTGAATTCCTGGATGAAATGGAGCTTCTTGAGCAGCTCATGCAGCATTACTGCCTCTGTTGGGGAACCAAAGGAGGAAGTGAACTTGGTATGTAATTTTACTTTTGTTGCTGTAACCTAGAAATGGGGAACTTTTCTTCTCCAAAGAATGAAAGACATGCTTGGAACTCTGGGCACAGAAGAACTAGAGGATGGTATAAGTGCATCCATGAGTGTATCCAGAGAATTTGCTGTTGTCTTCTGTGTTTTTATAGCACAGAAACCATGGGAACTGCTTAAATAAACCATGTGTCCCAAAACAACCCTTGAGAGATCTACTGTGGAATTTCTGCAGTTAGGTAAAAGACCTTGAGGGTTTAAAGTAATAATTGTCATAAAAGTGACTAGTGTTTATATTTTTCATCAACTTGTAACCAGGTTACTAGATGTTAAACACACAGATCATTACATCTGTCTAATGAACCCAAGCAGCTGGGGTTGAGTTTCTCCGTTTTCTCTTATGATGAAGGTGCACTTCCCAGGCCATGGGCGATAGGGCTGTAGAGGGCGAGCATGGATCTCGTCTGGGTTCCCGGTTAGCCTGGTCTTGGGCCACCTCCTCCTTCACAACTGCCCCGTGCTGGGCTCGCTTCCCAGTGGTTAGTCCTGGGTGTCTCTGCAGCCCAGTGGCCACCACTTTAGATCCTAGTTCTGGCCTTTAATGTAAAAGCTGCCCTTCAAGCTTCCCATAGAAGTGATCCAAAGACATAAGACCTCTGGAAGGCAGCTGATACAAAACAAAGAACTTGATAGAGGCAAAGACTGTCTCCTGTGTGAAAATTCCAGGTCGACATGAGATTGATAATCAGACACCTTGGGCTTATGGTTCTACTCCTTTCCAAATTTCCCCAGCTGTGCAGTTCAGCTCACAAATTCCTTTCAATTTTGAGTTAAAGTCATTGATTGGTGTGTTTTTGTATTTTCCTCTTCCTAATAAAAACAATATTAATTTTGAGTAGAGAATTTGGAAATTTGTGAAAATATACAGCAAAGAAAATTCGCCTGTATGCATATCATTTAGAGACAACATCTACTAACTTCTTCCGTCTCCTTTTCTACATATTTTTAGTGGAGTTGAATTTATTTATGTATCTGATTTCTAACATATTCTATTACGTAAGGATTTCCCGCTTGCTACTAAAAACTCTCAGCATTATTTTAATGTGTTCATAACATTCTATCATGTGGCTATATCTGAATTTAACTTTCCCATACTTCTGGAATATAGTTTATTTCTAATACTTTTAACTCCAGTACTTACAAAGAACCTCATGTTGCACATTTTAATGTAAGGGGCTTCTTTTGTCCCCACTGTGCACCTGGCTTCTCTGGGACATCAGTGCTTGTGTGTGTTGAAGAACCCTCTCTGTGTTTGCTCAAAGTTCAGCATGTAAAGGGTGAGTGGTGTTAACTGCAGAAAGCAGTTATAATGCTTTCTTAATCCCTTTAAAACCACCCATAAACACAGTCTCACCCAACCTCTTGTTTCCTTGTGAAATCTCATTCTCCGTAACACGACAGCAGAGCTGCAGCAGTCAGATGTGTGGCTGGTGCTCCAGAGCCAGTCACCGGGGGTTCACAGCAGGGTCACATTCTCCTAGCTCTGTTTTCTCTGCTTCACACTGCCAGAGTCTCTGACCAGCATCTGTGTGTCTCCTCCCCTCAGGTTTGCAGGAGATAACTTGTTAGTCTGTTGAAGGCATATGCTGAGCCACAAGCTGAAGCCACCGGCCTTCCTGGGGGAGCTACGCTGAGCTCTGAGTGATGGGCAGGCCTCAGGTACTGCCCTCATCCCACAATCTGAGAAACCTTGGTCTCAAAGTTTGCCGTACCAGCTCTTGTTTCTGTTGACTTGTTTAAATAAATCACACTTGCCATTGCCTGCATGGTGGGCCTCTGCTGCTCATTCTGCACTCCACGGGGTGGGCCGGGGTTCACCTCTGTGTCAGCTGAAGCCAAGGATCCCGAGTCCCACTTTGACCTTGGCTTACTCCCTGTGAATCAGACTCAGCTCATGACCTTGTACACATTTTGGGATTTATTCCTTCACATGTTCTTTGTTGTGGAACCTGACCTTGTATCTTGCCCCCTGACCTCCACCAGATACTGGGGCTCTTCTCTGGCTCCTGTTTCTGCCCTGGCCTGCTTAACTGCCTCCTTCATCCTGGCCACTGTCCCAGGCTGAGGGAGGGCCCCGAAAATGTCCATGTCCTGATCTCCAGAACCTGTGTAAGTTCTGTGGTGAAGGGAGCTTTGCAAATTAGGTGAAGGAACTTGAGATGGGTCTGATGTCATCACAATGGTCCTTATGAGCAAGACAGAGGAGAGGGTGGTGCGATGAGCGAGGCAGAGACTGTGGAGTGATGTGCTCTGAAGATGGAGGAAGGGTCATCTTTCTGAAAAGAACAAGAAAACAGATTCTCTCCTCAGAGCCTACCAGACTCCAGATGGAACCCACCCTGCTGCCACCTTGGTCATGGTTAGATAATCCTTTTAATATGCTGCTGACTTTGGTGTGCTGCTGTTTTGTTGAGGTTTTTGTATCAAAAGTCAGTATATAATTTTCTTGTATCTTTGTCCACTTCTGGTATTGAGGTAATGTTGGCCTTACGGACTGCGTTAGAATATGTGCCCTCTTCAATTTTTTTTGAATGAGTTTGAGAAGAATTGGTATTAAATCTCCTTGTTTGTTAAAAATCACCAGTGAAGACATATGATTCAGGGCTTTTCTTTGTTGAGTTTAGTATCCTTACCAGTTATAGGTCTATTCAGATTTTACTTTTTTTTTTTTTTTATAATTCAGGCCTAGTGGTTTGTGTCTTAGTCTGTTTTCCGTTGCCATGATACCTGAAAATATGCCATTCCCGTCAAAGCCTTGGTAAAACAACCAGTGTCTCCGATTGTGTCCAGTTATAAAAGAAAGCAGCTCTTCTTGAATTTAGGCAAATAACTAAATTGCTTAAAGATACTCACAAATAGTTTTCAAGTTCTTGAGAAATTAAGAGAAAAATATTTCAAATTTAGCTCACAGAAATATGTTTTACTCAATTTGTTGTTAGCTCAGAAAGAAAAAGGTTGTGTTGATTCCTGGAAAACAGAAAAATAAGCAATGTTTCAAGCAAAAAAGTCACCAAAAATTATTTTAGTCCATTATTAGCTTAGTCCCATATAATTAATTTTTGTTCTGTTTGAGGTTGGGTTAGCAATCCTCATCAATGCTTCAGCTTTTTAATTAAATTCTTGGAGGTTTTCCTAGTGTAAATTAATGGTATGATCTCCACAGTAAGCAGAAACCTGGTCAAGAGTACTTGTCAGAGTCCTTTTTATGACTGTCCGTGAAGAAGCAAATTTTGGACTGTAGCCAGTTAAAAACTTTTTTGAGATGAATTAAAGAAAAAATTCTAGATGACAGAAAGGATAGCCAAAGAAATTTGGTTATATTTAACATAGTAATTATTACTGATAATGTATATCAAGCCATCAGAATTTTAGGAATCTTCTACAGTTTTCAAACATTAATAATGCATTTATATAAATATAACAAAGTTAAATACCAGTTCATATTTGACAGTGCTTCCTGCCTGGGAGATTTGTTTCCTCTCCTTCATTTATTCAGCAATTTATATCAGTATGGATTCAAGGAAATGTTATAATTTGGGTTATAATCCAATACTACCTTATTTTGTCATGTATAGGTTTTAAAAAACCATCAAACTGGTTTTCAGAGTGGCTGAACATTCCCATCAGTGACATCGGAGTGATCTGGTTTCTCCACATTTTGTTTGTTGTTATCACTTTTTTTTCTTCTTAAATGTTAGCTATTCTGATAGGTGTGGAGGCATATCTCATTGTGGTTTTAATTTTCATGGGCATATTTGCTATCTGTGTATCCTCTTTGGAGGTTACATGTTTCTTTACATCTCTTGCCCATTTTCTAAGGGGATTTGAGTTTTGAGCACTCTTTATATAGTCTAGGTATTGGTCCTTTTTCAGATATGTGATGTGCAAATATCTTCCAGACCACAGCTGGTCTTTGCAGCCTCCTAAGTCTTTCAGATAGCAAAATTTTTATTTTGATGTTCATTTCTGTGAATCATACTTTTGGTGTCAAATGCCTTACTTAGATGCTGAAGTTCTCTATAGTTTTCTGAAAGTTTTACAGTTTTAGGATTTATATTTAAGCTTCTCACATTCATTTTGAGTTATATTTTATGAGATGTGGCTTGTCATTTATTTGCCTATGGATGGCCAGTTACACCAACATAATTTGTTGAAAAGGCTATCTTTCCTCCATTGGATTGCTTTTACACCTTCTTCCAGATTGTTTTTGTCCTGCTCAGAAAAATCTTCCCCATTTCAAATAGTAAAAATTAATAATTAATCCACATTCTTTTGTGGCCAGATATTCCTAGGCTCTTTATTCAGTTCCAGTGGCTCATTTATATATTTCTTCCCCAGTTCTAAACTATTTTAATTATTATGATTGGGTATCTTGTAGAGCTGCTTTTCTGTAATGCTCTTCCTTTTCATAATGTTCCTGGATATTCTCACAAATTTACTTTGGAAATGCAGTGGTGGCAGATTTGGTTAGTGATCCCCCAAAGATTCAATTTCCCCTTCCATAGTGTTTTGAGGGTGGGCAGGGGAGCTGCTGTCCAGTGTGAGACTACATTTCATCTAAGCTGTGGCCATATTACTGTATCTAATATGGGTCACTTTTTGCCTGATGTGGCTAAGAAATGGGTCTGCGCCTCTACCTTTTTGTTCTCCTTCTCGGACAACCTTGGAAGCCAATTATTGAAAATGGTGGAGAGGCAAGATGGATGGAAGAAGCTGGTCCCTGCATAGATGGCCTCCTGCTGAATACTCAGGAGTGATTAAAAAAGAACAAAGAAAACCCATGTCATGTGTTTAAATCATTGGGATTAAGAGTTTATGTGTTATAGCAGCTACTGTTACTATAACCAGTATATTTAATATCATTTTGCCAGGTTCTCCCAAACTCCTGTTGTGTCTTACCTAAGGTGGGGTGAAGTAAAATGAAATCTTAAGCTTCCCAGTCAACTGAATGGACCCCTTCTTGGCCAAGCGGACCCCCTGCAAAATAACCTTAAAGCTGAACTTACTGCGATGAGAAGAGAGGTTAGACGTGTCTAGTTATGCCCTGTCCGTCTTGGAGTTATATTGTGTAACAATAAGATACAAAATCATGAAGAAGCCTAAGGCCATGTAACACAAAGGTAAACTATACCCTGCCGGTCACCAGTTTACTTGAGTCTAGTATACATCCGGTGGCTTATCCCTGATTAACAGACTTCCTTATTTTAACTTAAAACATTCCAAGCCTTTAGACAAAGCTTCATTTCTTTAACCAATTACAAATCAAAGAATCTTTAAACCCACCTATAAACTGTAACCCCCTATGTGTAATTCCGGTCTCACTAAAATGTATAAAATGAAACTGTAACAAACCCCAAGGAGACTACTTGCTCAAGGCTTCCTGGGTGTGGCTCTCCAGCCATGGTCACACATGTTCTGCTCAGAATAAACCTTTAAATTATTTTACAGAGTTTGGGTTCTTTTCTGTTGACAGTGGCATTAATTTTATAACTTAAAATGAGAGAACTGACATCATTACAATATTCAATATGATGTCATTCTATTTAGTTAAGCCTACTTTTATGGTCAAAGGTAGAATTTACAATATATATTTTGTACCAAAGATAGTGACAGTTGACTCATGGGTAATCATATTTCAGATATCTCTGTGTAGTCACATATTTAATTTTATCAGATTGGAATATGATACATGCTGTTCTATAAACTGCCTTTTTGTTCCAACATTTCTACAATCAGATCTACAACAGATTGGCAGAGATTTTTCCTTAAAGGGCCATATAGTAAATATTTTAGACTTTGTAGAACAGGAGGATATTATGCAAATACTTGATAACCATTTAAACTGTAAAAACTTTCGTAGCCTGCAATCCATAAAATAATAAGCAACTACCAAGAGTTGGCCCACAGGCTACAGTTTGCCAACCCCTAATCCATATCATTTAAAAAACTACTTACAGCTGCGTGCAATGGCTCATGCCTATAATCCTAGCAGTCCAGGAGGCTGAGGCAGAAGGATTGTGTGAGGCCGCGAGTTCAAGACCAGCCTGAGTTAAGAGCGAGACACCAACTCTAAAAAAAAAAAAGCAAACAGAAAAATTAGCCAAGAGTGGTGGTGCATGCCTGTAGTCCCAGCAACTTGGGAGGCAGGACAATCACTTGAGCCCAGGAGTTTGAAGTTGCAGTGAGCTATGATGACACCACTGCACTCTAGCCCAGGTGGTAGAATGAGACTCTGTCTCAAAAAAAAAGCAAACCTGCTAATTTAGGTAGTCTAGATTAATGTACATTTATGTAGCTTCCATTTTAATTTCCAACTATAATTAGTATGACAATGAACATGCTTGTATGTAAATCTTTTTATACTTACCTGTTTACCCCCATGGGTAAATTCTTAGAAATAGTTACTGGGTCAAAGCATTTGATATTTTATTCTTTGATACATATTGTCAAAATATATATATATTTTTATATCATATGCACAAGAGAGCCTGTTTTACTATATCCTTATCAACACTAGATTTTATCAATCTTTTCAATTTGCAGTCTAATAAAAAGACATCTCATTGTTTATATGCTAATTTCTTTATGACTCTCTTTTTTGTAATTAATTTTTGTTTTGCTTGATGTTAGGTTACCAATCCTGATGAATGCATCAGCTTTTTAATTAGTCTTAGAAATTTTCCTATTCCAAATGGTGTTCTCTTATAAGCTATCATCTGCAACTGTATTTAAAAGTACCTGTCAGAGTCCTTTCTATAAAT